CTAACCCGATATAGAGTCACGTTCACGGGTTGTGAAACATGGATGCTTTTTCAGTAAAATTAGGATACTTGGAAAGAGTATCCTTGTACTAAATATTTCAAATTTCGAGCTAGCCATTATTATGTGCAATTACTTCTGGCACCGGCAGTTTTGCCACGTTGAACAAGCTGTTTTGAAAAATGTATACCGTAATTTAACGGAACCGTCTTTGACGGCACAGTGGCTACTGCCAATTACTGATTTACCCAACAATGAAAGCCGGATCAGCAAGGCGGGCTGGCTAGCTATACATCGTAAAATAGTAGCACAACGATCTGTTTAGAAAACAGCTGCGAAAATACCTTGTTCGTTTTTCAGACCTGGCGTCGGTTCTCTTATAGAGACCGAGAGACCAGAAGGCCGACGACATCGAAAGATTTAGAAGCCACAATAAAATTACTGAAACAATAGGCTATCGCTATCCATATTTCGACCCGAACGATAGTAAGTTTAAACATTTGCAGTGGGAGGAAAAATTCCACACCTTATGTAAGTTTTTTACTTATCATATGAACTGTGTATACATTTTTTGGGACACCTTGCGTATTTGAGTTGACCACTTGCTAACTAATTCTTTGGAGATACCTGATAAATGAACCGAAAGTGAATGTAAATAAATGCGCGCTATTTAATATTACTTGATAAGAAGTGTATTAATCAGAGAACATTTTCTTAAAAAAAGCAATGGGGTTTAATAACAGTTACGACTTATATTTCGTTAAACTATAACCCTAGTCTGTAGGGTTCGTCAACGCAGTAACAAGTTGGCCTAGGCCGGCATATTTGGCCGAACGCAGCTTTGGCTAGAAGTGGACATCAGAGGTGATCAAAGAAGAAGACACATCAAAGCTGATATCATGACAGTGTGTGACCTTCCGTATCATGCAGTCCTTCAGAAGGTGCGTCTTTTCCTGGCTACGCAGTTTTGTGAAGGCAACGCGTCTGCTATAGAAATATTTAGTGATTTTCGCGGTAAGAATGAGTGTCTTTGACATTGACAACGCTTGAAAAACGCAGGAGACATCGCAGGTTAGAAGACGTTGAGTCGTTGCTGTTTTTGTAGCTACGCCGATTAGACCTGTACAATAATGTAAATAGCTCTATTATAAACGTGTAAATAGAAAAATAATTATAATAAAACCTCATTGAACGATAATAACGGCTGCAATGGAAAACATCTTTGTAACCTTTTTGTACTTATGTCTATATGGATTTTTTTTCACTACGTTGATAACATCTGAGAAACTAATGATTTTATGTAAAAAACAAATGATCTGTCGGTCATGGCTAGCATATTTAGATAGCATAGAAACTGGTGTTTCAATGAAAATATTATAACGTACAGAGCTAACAATGACCTTTGCTTACAGCAGGCAGTAATGATTTCGGTAGATTGAAACTATTCGGTGCGGCGTGCTCTGACCGCAGGACGATCCAGTGCCGAACAATGAGAAACATCGTGTGCTTTCTACGTCGCCGATAGAGAAAGACAAACAAACAGCCTGCTATCTCGATCAGCGCCTGTACAACACAATGTCCAATATCCAAATAAAAATGTGGAAGCTTTTACTTGTCCCGTAATGACGGTTTCCATTGTCCTCTCACTTGCCATTTTACAATATGGGCGTCACCGCCTGGCAGCCTACAGCAAGGAGGTCAATTTTGAACTTCTCGTTCGTACAGAACGTAATAGGTTTGAAAAGGCTCATTGGTTGAAGTTACGTACGTAATAAGATAATTGTTTACGAAATTCATTTGGGCGAAAGTAAGCTATTTACAGTTAACAGAATTTTTACGTCTCACGCTGGTTCAACGTAAGAACGCCCTTGAATTATATATCACCACTTATACGAAGTATTATTGCATTAATACAATTATTAGACAATACTGCAAAAAATAGTCAGACGTTCTTTATCGCTGATAGACTTTTTCTATCGAGAACAACTAAAATGCTATTTACGAATCTACTCGTTGGTATTTACGTCGGTAGTCTGCGGGACGTTAGCCAGCGTGTTTTTACTACACGTAAACTGATTTACAATGCGCTTGAAAACGATAACAGGTCACTATTGACGCTTCCAGTGAAAACTTTTCCGACGGTTGTATCAACCTTGGTCGTATCAGTTCCCCCCCGAACGACGCCGCCCACCCATTGGACTCATGCGAACTGGGCTGAATGGCCAGCAGCTGAGTATGTCATGTCACGTCGTGCGAATCCTCTACTAGTTGTAGACGATTTCCTTTACCGAAAAAACGGTCAACCAGGAAAAAGCGGTCAACAGTACTGGGTTTGCATCACCCGCGGATGCAACGCCAGAATTACGACAGTGTACGATCACGTTGCGGTAAGACCATACAGACAAGTGTATACACACACACAGTTTCAGTGTTTTTTTTTTTGCGTTACTATTGTCTCGAAATAGATTTAAAGGGAAAAGCCGTTGTCAGATGGTGGCGACACCCTTTTACCATCGGCGATATCCAGATAGCCATTTGATGATACCGAATCGCGCAATTCTCTGTATTTTGTTCGATTCCAGATGGTTCCACCACTGCATAGTCACGAGCCTTGCCCAGACCACGTTGAGAAACTAAAAATTGCTGGTGCTGCGAAATTGGCCGCATTAAGTAGTAACATTGACTTTCCAGACGATGACGATGAAAACCAATATCGTCGATGATCTTCTTCTGCGTCGCTCACCGTGTTTTCATTCATGGTGCAGTCATTTACCTAAACTTATTGCCTAAACCTATATCCAACCGTCGTGTATCGTACGGGGCAATCACTAATCCAGTCCAAATAGTTAATTTTGTATAAAATCATTCTTAACATATCCAATATACCTTCTCAGTACATATTCTCGATTATATGAAGGAAACGAGAAACGCCTTTTAATCCTAATTTTAAATAGCATTTCAAATAATATACGCTATTTTAGTGACCGCAGCAATAAAACACGGAATCATCGGCAAGAGTACGATATGCCGTTATATATATATTGACTATTGAAAAAACGTTAGAAGTGCTCATTGGGATGTTATTAAAGCTATTTGTTCGCTATTCAGGTAAAACTTGTTTTACCCCGTTCGTTCCATTCCGATCGCGTGCAACAATTCATGACGGATCCCGGAAGCAATTGGATTAAATATACAACTTGGCCCTAGGCCTTGAATACTTCTATCGACTATATAAACCTTCTCTCGTGGCTGACTTAGAGTTACGTATCAGGCCGAGCTAACGAATAATAATTTATGGCACCATATAGTATTATATTAGAAACAAGTATGTTTCCTTGCTACTAAATTCCACTCAGGACAAATGGCAATTATAATAATTTACTACTGTGTGAAAAACAAGTTGATTTCCTGCAGAAGTTTCCATAACACAGTTCATGTTCATTCTTCGCATCTGACCTGGACACACGTTATTACCTATGCATTGCTAAATGTATCGTTGGCCACAGACGATACGGACCATCGTTAACTTACAGAATCGACCTAGCAAACTGAATAGCAAATAAGCAGATATACTCTGTAAAATGTTTACGAAGAAACGTTGTGTTTCTTTCTGTGAAGCCGGCTGAAAGCTTTAAATAGACCGTTCATTCAGGGCTTGAAGTTCCGGCTCTCTAACCGGGACGAGATAGAGCGGAAAGAACAAGTGGTCTCGCATTGCTCACCGAGTCTAAGCTTAGGCCGACGCGCGCATGGCTGGCTATAGCACAACGGATGCTTCTCTATCGACCCTGTTACACATTGATAGGAACTGGCTAGTTCACTCGTTTTCCATAAATATAAACCACTGAAAATAAGATAACGTATCGAATACCTACGACGATTATTTGAAACAAATGTGTAATAAACGTACTATAAATAATATATATATAAAAGGAAACATGTACGGCTATGAACCTCGTGTAACGGCAACTGAGTTTATTGTTAGACAATCACAGCTGCAAGAAGAACATCGAATAAATTATGAAACAATATTTGGGCTATTATTATTATTATCATTATTTGTATTTTTTTCAACCATTTTGTGGTTGCACTGCGTTTATTATCTAGACAAATGAGCATGCGTAGAGACCTTTTTCATCGCAAAACTTTGGCGGGCGTGAATAATAAGCCTACGATTAAGATTACAATTAGGTTTGTCAATGTGTGGCGTCTTCTTGTCCATGTTAAATAGGCGTTGTGAGAAAGCTGGCGCATACCAGTAAAATGTCCCGTTTTTTTCAGGTAACAATGGATGGAATGGATAAAGCTCAAGTAGCAAACATCCAGCCTATGGTGTAGTGGTCCCATCTGTAGCGTCTGGATTGAAATTGAACGTCGAAATCAATAAACAATAAAAACATCAGTTTTTATTGTTACACTGGATCTTGCTATTAGAGACAAAAATTAGATCACTTAGATCAGGCTTAAGTGAACGTATTAGGCTCTTCTATTGATAACTAATCGCCATTAGTATATCATAAAATATCAGTACTTCACAGCCGAACTACATGCCGAGCACAAATGGTATATTGAAAAGGAAGAGACCTGACAAATGAATTACTTCGCAAACAAACATCTCGTCTCGAATGAAAAACAAATTGACAACACCGACAAATCATGTCAATAGATAAGGGAGATCCAGTAGTGATGTCAACTAACTAGCATAATTTATTTTCAGCGATACTCGCGGCAAACCTCGTTAAGCACGAGGTCCTATCAAAAGAAGTAGAGATGGCCGAGCTCATGGCGCGCTCACCTGTCTGGGCATGGTTTCTGCCGACGGAGGGTTTCGCACAGTGCCGTGTTTGTGCCGTCCCGTATACGATGTCGCCCGGAGTCGAAGCGATTTTGTCAAAACACGTTGAACGAGCGCATCGAACACGCGCGGATGATCTTATCACACTCAAGATACTCATGTTCAAAGCCGCAGCTACTGCCGGAGAAGTAAGACGCTCCACCAAGAAGTGACCTAACGCCTGAAGATTTGATCGGCTTCAAGCGAAGCGTTGGAAGCAATGGCCATTGTTATGAATAGACGACCCCATTATTTGTGCATTTGATAACTACATCGCAATAGAGCACGTAGAATGCTTCATTAAAGCCAGAAGGAGCCAGAATGGAAATCGTGATAGCCACCGGACACGTATTTATATTTGCGTTAAGGCAATAGGCAGTAGAGTAGAGTACTCCAGCATCCAGGTTAGAAGCGATCGTTTTATCAATGCTGGCCCGCTTTGTGTAAATGTATTCTTACTATCAAACCAGGAAGATTAATCATTTATTGCAAAATGCTATTAAAATTATCAGTTATCGAACAAGTGGTCCTCTGATGCCAAGTTTGTTAGTGACCTGCTCAAACGCTTGACTCGTTTATTGCTCTCACATTGATTTCTATGAAAAGTGATATTCTGATGAGTCATATACCCTAAAAGTAGACCCATAACATCGAGGTAGAATTAGTAGACGGGGCTCGTTCCATTTACGGTACTTGAACACCCATCATCGCCGGATAGTGATGAGAACGCAGTGAACTGGTGCTAGGGGGCAGGCGAATTGAAAATATAAGGTCATAGAAGCAAAAAAATTCTATCCGGCTGAGCGGGCAAGCTTCGCCTGCTTAGCATAGGATCGCAACTGGAAAAAACACAGAGATCAAATAAAACCACATTTTCCTTTCGGTAAGATGAATTGTACGATGAAATCTGGAAGGCTCTACGGAACACTAGTATGGGTCTTTTAGAAGAACGGATTTCAAATAAATGTAAAAAACTGCGCTATTTCTTCTGTGCGCCTTTTCTCCTGTTATAATCTTATCAGCAAATCATCATAAATAAAAGTGAATGAAGAGGAAAGTCCTATGCGGTTCTTAACAAAGGATCAAACCAAAGAGAAAAAACCATATAAATCACAAGTGCATATGATACACATCGCACTGTGTGCGGCTGGTTTAAGAATACCGCTATGATACTGTTATTGATAGATATCTATTACATAGGTCTTCATGCATGAATTCTATGTGTATTTACCTATTGAAAGCGAGGCCAGGACCACGTTTCTACGACCAACGACGTAGACATTCATTTAGAGTGAACCAGAATAGGCAACCATTAGGAACGAACGGCAACCCCGCACTTCGTGCTTGAAGATTGCGCTTTTCAGCTTTTGCTAGAAAAGCGTAATTACGCTTGTGAATACGTCCCTACATTTCTATATAAGCATGAAACATTACGTGCGCGTGTTGACGCCCAGCAGTGCATGGGTAATGTTAATTTCTATATGTGAGTAAATGGCTGGACAGTATAAAAGAAAAATCTTTAATATATACATAGATACCAAAATCTCTACATATATATATATATATATACACTGAATGGTTTTCTTGGTATTTTCCCTTGTCATTGCATTATCGGTTGAAATTTTCTGATTTGAAACAAAGACTGAATAAGGCTGAGAGGAAGAATAAGGTAAACGACATTTCTTACTGCATTTACACATACAAATATGTATTACTATTAAATGATAATGGTGACAAGGTTGTGTTGCCTGAAAATGGTCCGGCAATATCGAATATACCAACGACATGTTAATCTCAAGGTGCAGTTTGTACATAGAGAAACAAAAGATACTGAAATGATCTGTTGCTATTAACATTATTATAAAATAAAAACGATAATAAAAATGAGTCGAGGCAACCTTACTCGCATAGCGCATTTAATATATGCATTACCAAGAATGTACTGCTTTTTTGCTTAGTTTAAAATTTACAATTTAAAGCGAACGTCTCCGTATATTTTCTTCTAGTAGGCAAAATCACATCTATCTTTTATTACGAAAACAAACTCACATAGAAATATGGTCACTTCTTTTTTACCACCACTTTAAACCCTAAATGTTGAGCAACAATATTCAGTTTACAAAGCTGTTCGTCTCTTTTTTCAAACTTCAATGGCTGAAGTAGGACAAATTGTTTCTGGACACTTCCTGTCAGCTCGCAGCCCGCCGTAACCATGACACACGTCGTTTTTCTTCCACATTCCTCGATACCAAGCCGTCAGAGGCCAAGTCGGTCTATAAGATACTTCGCCAATACTGGATTTGCAGGCAATACCAAGACATTTCTAACCGGTGATCAGCCATACGGACATTTCGATAAGTTCAAAGTACGCGGCATGGCGCTACTGTCCATGCAGACGAAATTTGCGATCCAAGTGGTTACACGAAGTGCCGCTTTTGCGGCGTCGGTCAATAGAAAACATCTCGAAACAGACACGGCAATACAATATCGCCTTTATTTTATCGCACTTTTCATTCTCAGCACAGTCGATATGAGCTGTCACTGGTCTAAAGAACTGGTTGAACCATACGGATTCATTTGTAAATCAGTACAATTTATAGGACCATATCAAACTGGTATTCAACGACAACAATAGTTTTACGAATTGATCCAAAATCTCATACCATAAGATCATATGTTACTATCACTGGTTGAAGATAATTGTGATGGAAACAAATTATTTTAAACGGGCAAATTAATTAAACTCGTATAGGTCCTCATGTAGGAAGATGGAATATCGCTGTGTTCGTCCATTTCCAATAAATCGGGCCAGAACATACGATCGACGAAATGATGACCCAATGTCGAAATTAGCAGCTGTGCAGACATAACAGACGTTTTGGACGTACTAGAATGCCTGCATATCAACAATATTATAATTAAGTCATTTTTAGAGCTCGTCATGCTAACGTCCAGTTGTTCTTACAGGTTCCTCGAGCGATGGATACGGACAGAAATTAGAAAATCACAGCAGCACCACCTGACGAGATCTTAGCGTCAGAAGCAAGATCTTTCAGCGCCGTCTACAAGATCCACGCAATGGCCGGAGTAACCAAACAATTCAACCTGCGGCTGACTCTCAGCAGTTACTCCCTGTATACTGTATATCTATAGTCTGAGTTGTGAGGTATTACTACGGGGGAAGGGGGATTACGGTATGAATGGGCTTACTGAGATCCCAGCCGAAAGCTGCGATTGGCAGGTTCGCATTGCGAAGTGTCAGCTCCGATACGAAGTACGTTTTATAAGGTACGCTTCTTTAGATTGATGATTGGATTAGCGGCCTATTCAACTGCATACCTGCCTCCTGGTTCTGGGTTAAAGACCCCAATCATTTAAAACATCACTGACAGACCTGAAACGGTGTGGTGGCTAGTCCAGCACCCAGGTCCAGTTCTTTCCTTGAAAAAAACAGGCATTTCACACACACGAGAGTCAATCACAAGAAATTTTCGTACGAAGCAGTCTGTGCAATGCGCAAGTTCCGTGTCGAATAAAAGAGCTATGTTCTTATGTTGACGCAACTAGCGTTACGTTACAGTTAGTTACAGTTCTCATTATGTAAAAAGAGTATGATTTTAATCCTCGTAATAATAGCACAATATCAGCACATGGGCCAGGGCCTACCTGGGCTCCCCAGGCAGCTCAATGGGATAATGAATGCATTTACGTAATCCGTATTCTTACCTTAGAGGTTCACCCCACAGATAAAAATAGCTAAATTCATAAGTAGACGCAATCCAATAACCAAGTGCCGCTAACCAATAACACCGATTTCCGATGTTTACTTACAGAAACAACGCTAGCTATAGTGGAGTTTGACTTAGACGCCGACGATTACACTTGCGTCACGTGTAGCATCACTTTTGCGACAAGACTGCAGTTTCTAACCCATCGACTCGAGGATCATCAGGCCCAAAAAGGTAACGAACTCTCAGAATCACAACGGCCTGCTGCACAACAATGTGATATGCATTATGATGAGCTCGTCGAAGCTCACTAAACACTCCATAGCTGATTAAATGGATGGCATAATTGAATTCAGCAGATTAGAGAATCCATAATGATCTCAGATTGTGAGTAGCATAATATGCTCTTTCATGAGTCAACAGGTAAGCATTTCGTATTAGGAATGGAACACTCACCTAAGAAGCCGCAGAGTAATGATTTGTTCGTACAGAGATCAGTGGACCGACGTCGAGCTTCACTTTCTTTTACTTCAAATTTTCATACATAAAGATCTGCCATCTTCCTTGACATCAGGCTTTATCGTGTGCAAAGCGAACTCAAGTTCTTATTTACGTCGAGGTTTGAGGTGAAAAAACATGAAACAAGGAGACGAATTAGTAAAACATTTGTCCGGTAGAGCTCATTCATGAGTCGACTGTCTGCAAACAAAAGTTCCGAAATTAGCTACACAGCATCATTTGCAGGAACTCATAGACAAGAGAGACTAAACGTCATCCATGAAAATCTGCTTAGAAAATTTCGTTCATGTTAATAGAACCATTTGTTTAAAAGTTTTTCTGACTGCGGCAGAAAACAAATTCTTTTGGCTGCTGGCTTCGCCCAAAAGATGTGCACGTTGTTTGATCAGATCGCAGACCGGTCGCCATCTTGGATCGCAGATCTGGCGTTAACGCTGCGAGCTACTTACGAATAGCTGACAGCAGATCAGGTGCAATGTGGCGCAACAATTGCATCTTTGAAGTTGAGTACGTTATTATTATATCGGTCATTTTGAAGTACGAGTCCATCCCCTTTTGTCATTTAAAAACTAGTTGACCCGTATGATTTTTTTTTCCTGTTCAATACATTTGCATCATAGCTCGATTCACAACTACCAAACGAAAGAACGGCTCCGGTGATAACGACTGAGGAATTTAGAGAAATTACCTCGACGCATACGAAGTCCTCGTAAGATTCCAATGAAATAGAACATTTTACGCATTGATAAAGTCTTTTATAGAAAAGTACGTCCAGTGCTTTACAGTTATCTGTTTACTCCAACCCAAACTAATCTAATTTCCTTGTGTATATATATATATAGCCGTCCGCCATTTTCCTTGCCGTAGCTGATCGTAATTGTCGCTGGTATAGCCTAATGTGTTTCACAGACAGGCGGGACCACTTTTAAACATTTCTACGAACCAACGCTTATTCGACTAATGATTATGGAGAGGTTTTTAAGAAACGAGAAATCAAAGGCCTCTATGGACGCTATATCTGTCACGTACGAGTCCTTCGTGGATATTTGTCTAGGCAAAAGGTTTCCCTATCCATTCGTGCCTCTCTGCTTACGAGTTTTTATCATGTTCTAAATTTGTTTTGGATTCGTATAGAGCAAAAGGCGAACCTTATATAAATTGTACAGTGCGGAATAATTGCCTAGGAGTGCAGATTAAGTAGTGGCGTTAAACATGCTCATTGGTCTGAATTGTAGCTGGCCGTCACTACGAATAGGGGATGTCCTTTACAGGTGTTTATGTTTGCCCAGAGTGCAAGTATAGTTCGGCGAGGAAACCCGACGTACGCAGACATCTGCAGGTTCATTTGAGCAGTCCGGGTCACGCCTTCAAATGCAGTGTCTGCGGTGGAGACTTCAAAAACTACCGAAGTTTGTCATCGCACATTAAATGTGTGCACGGTTACAATAACGTGCCCAACTTCGGTTAGTTGAAAATAATTTCCTGCTTTTTATGGTAAAGGTAAATGTAGCCTTTTGTTTACTTTGCGGCCCTTTACCGCCCTTTCAGTTTTACAACAATATCTGAAGTAATTCGTAACGAAGCGAGCTAGCCTCTGAACTGGGTACATACGAACAAGTAAATGATCGAGTGAGAAACAGCCCCTATTACGAGTTATAGGTTAGGATTATCGTACGAGTTGCCAACGCGGTATTAGTAGGTTCATGCGCCAAAATAGTCCCTAGTCACAGTCAGTGATGAAGCTTGAACAAGCAGCGCAAAATCTTTCTCTATCACTGTATGGAAATCACATAATGAACTCCTGTTCCATTACAGAGCTCCAATGTTGGCAGGCTAACGCAGTTACTTATTCAGGCTTGAATTAAGCACGTTCTGAACGTTTGTCTGTTTTTGCAGTTCCGCAACCGCCTTCAAGCTGGACGCGTCAACAAGACTAGTCAAACGGATATAGTCACTTTTTACTTTATTTAAGTTGTGCCGCACAGAAAGCTATTTATTTGTTATTTAGTCTGATAAAGATATATAGCCTTATATTTGACCATTATATATATATACATTATAAACCACATGACGGAGGCTGAAATGATCCCTTAATATAAAATATAAGAAAATATTATACATATTTAGAGAGAGGAAACGCAAAATGTAAATAAAAGGCTGTGTATTGTACGAAATACACATTGTGGTGTTTTAACGTAATTTAATAATCGTTCTTCTTTGTACCGTCAGATTTTTGGTGTTCATAAATAAAAAAATCGTAGTTTTCCCACTCGTACGTAACTCCGGCCCCCATAGTAACACGTCTGTGTTCTTCCAGATAATAAGACCGGATGGTCGATGGACGGACCGGGTCAACGTAAAATCATCCTGCCGCTTGTTGTTGAAGAATGTCCGTTTCGAAAAAGACTATGTTACAATTAAAATAAAGAGTTCATGGCCAAGAGCATGTACGTAATGACTTTGCATGCGATGAGCCGCCGCCATTATTTGTTTGGTATAATTTCCTAAATGTCGTGTGTGTTCAATCAAACACGCTGCATATTGATTTATCTAGTTTTAGGCCTAGTCGTTCTTATCAATTATCAACGCTAATCACAAATCTAACGAATTGGTTAGGTGGTATCGTTCCTGGTGAAGACGAGTTCCTGCGACGGCTTGTTCAAGCACGCTTTGAGTGCCCGTACTGCGATTATCGGTGCTTCCGCAAATACGACCTCGACCGTCACGTCCGAAAACATACGGGGGAGAAACCTTACGGATGCAACCAATGCGAGATGAAATATTCACGCCTCGAACATCTAAAAAGTCATATTAAAGCTAAGCACATGTGCCAAATATCACCCCTAGTGTAACTGAACGTATCCCGTTCAGCGCTACAGTACGACCCTTCACAACGGTCCACCTATTATGTAACTATTCTCGTTGCTCGAAATCGTGTTCCTTACCCTCCTGCTACACCGGCTCTGTATCATATTCCCTAGCTCTCCCGATATTAGTTCTGATGACTCTGAACCATAGCGAGCTTCAAATAGGGCAGTGATTGCATTAGCAAGTCGACTAAACTCACGGTGGAGATCTGCGACTACTACGAATTTTTTATACCCGAGTACGGAACCACGCTACGTGTATCAGACGGTTTTCTCCTTTGTTAGCATGATCAACCAGGATTTTTTAATCTTGATGGAATGCTTGTTCTATGGTGCTATATTGAAGGTATAATGAGAAGTCCTTTCTTTTGCATAGTTCATAATGCTATCACTTGGAAACTAGAATGCTACGGCTGCGGGAAAATGGGGTACCAATGAAACACTGATCACAGAAAGCAGGTAACAGGGGTCCATTTCGTTAATGTCGTACAACAGCAATGATGATAATGACAGCAACAGATCGCACGAATTCGTTTAAGGTACTACTAAAAGCGCAATCAGACTAGCTCCGATCTCTTCTGGCTTCCACTGATCGTGGATGTTCGTGGGCAAGAAGCCGGTCGCGCAAAGGCTCATTACTCTATTAGAAATGAAATAGAAAGAAAAAGCTCGCGTGGCGCCATTTCTTTCACTTATACAGTAACTGATTATCAGTTAGTTGGGCTTGACGCATCAATAACGAGTGAGTTAATTACACATGACGGATGTTCCATGAATAGATGGATGTGTACGCATGTTTATAAAGACGAACGAAAGTTTAACTTATAGACACAGCCAGTAGCGTTTGTGTGAGACGTCTATTTTATCGTGTAAAGTATCGAACTATCATACTAATGCGGATATAAACACTTGTGAAATGTGGTATTAGCACCATACGCGCAATACCGAAGAAAAATTATCAGGCCAATTGTAGGCGAAATCCTTAAGGAATCTGGAAGAGACTGGGACCTATCCGGATCACGTAAACCACGGGCTTCAGTATGTCTATTATCAGTTAAAACATCTAGTTGGCACAACTAGCCATATCATCAGACAATGATAAGTGATTCCGCTACCCATATGCATCGTTTTGACACGCACACAGACACACAATCGAATGTATCAAACTGAATTAAAAATATATTATCAGATTCGTTGCTTGTTTTCGTGAACAAGGCAATAAGCTGTTCTTATCGACGCTCAAACTCTACCGAATGTTTACGAGTGCTGAGTGAGGAGTCGATCTTTTCGTAAAAACGGAACGCTGAAAATGTGGATGACACGTCAGTGTCTGGTACTAGGTCAATACATAGTACTTCATGGCGCCCACAGAGGACACACAACGTCGTTGGTCTGCGGCTAGCTCAGCCCAACACGAACCGTGACGCCTGATACCATACCATTTTCTAGTATGGCTTGTTGGTGTTTACATGGAATTATATGATTATTGTATTACTACTACATGGATACGTTTCCTTAAAAGGACATCGGCCTAGTTTTATCTCATCATACTGCTATACTGCGTTATTGTGTTTTGTTTTCTTATGGGGAAGGATCTCTTTAGCATATCCAGCCATTGTCGGCAGGAAATTATTGGCCGTACAATATTCATGAATAAACAAGGGCTTGGACAACTACAAGTAGTAGGTCCTTTTTCTGTACTGAACCTCTGTTGATCTCAACAGCTTTAACACTTTGCATACGTTTTGCCATTTCTGCGCAAAACTAAAAAAAGTCGACCAATAGAAAAAATTTGTCGTTTTTTTCCCAAAAACTACTGTAATTTTTCCTGTTACCTTGGATTCAGGAAATAATACTCATTTTACGAAGTTCCTATAGAAGTATGATTGCCTTCCTATAAAATATATTAGCCATGGATGCGTGCCCTTTATTGCTTTAGTAATAGATATATAGATATTGATATATGTTGTTACACATGTGAGTGGCAGTTCAGTGTGTCTCTAGTATAGAAAGGAACTTACCCTTATTCTCTTACACATTAGAGAAAATTTTAATCTGAGTACACTAGTGATTCCTATCTTGTTTGTTTTAAAACTGGGTAGATCAGGCTAAGCTTTGAACCATGAAGGGTAATGGCAAAATCTCGTTGGGCATCATGTTTGTCAAGGTTCCATTAACAAACACGTTAGTCTTAAAGGTCAATCCGAAGGAGGTGACTGATTATGTGTAATGCATTCCGAGTCCTTGTAGCTTTGCAGGCCAAAATTAGACACTGGAAATATTTGAAGTCGATAGTGTTAAGGCGTCGGATTTAAACGGTTCTAGTAAGAAATAGATAGCCCGATCACATACAGCGGTAAAGACCTATTATCTTCCCTTGATTTTATCATTTTCTTTTATATTCGGATCTTCATAGACGAAGTGACTGAGCGAACAGCATTTGAAACGCTTGATTTTTTGAAGTACTACTTTACGTGACATTGTCGTACCAACAAAACGATACATGAGGTTCGTACTCTTGTTTAGCGCGGTTTCCGAGTCGCTTCGAGATAACTTGTTTAACCCTAATTAGGCTCACCCAATACGATCACGATGACAAGCAACAAGCAAACTGTGAGCTTGCTGCAGGCGATTCGGGCAGATGAAGTATAAACGGCTCATATTTACGCTGACGAAGGTCGTCCCTAAAAGCTGTCCTACAAACGTGGCTCGACGTGCCGCCACCCATTAACGTACTTAATTTTAACTCAATAGTATATAGATAATAACGACATACGTTCATCATAACCAATAATAACGACCTTATGTACTACTAGTTTCACGCAAAAAGCGTATGACCTAATACTCTCAACTTCAGTCTCTAACAGCGGTGATTGGAGATTATTACCATATATATATATATATATATATATATACATACACACACATATTATAAAATGTTGAAATCAAAACATAAACGATAAAGTGGATAATATGAATGACGACGAAAAACAAAGCGAAGAAGAAAATAATAGAAACGTACCGAGATGTGTGTATCACATATCTTTGGCTATACTTCTTCTAACGGGAGTTGATCCTGTGTGACGCAACTATACAAGCTTACGATACATGGAGATGTGCGACAGCGTACTAGCTAAAAGAACTACATTATAATGAAATAAGAAGATTATATCCAGAAGTGCCATTTGGTCTATCTGACCACCTGTTCTGCCGCCCGACCGACGCTGAAGGCTCCAATGATAAAACGGCGAGCCGATGGCTGGGCGAACGATTCGCACCTTCGTGCCTTATATGGACATATTTTTAATTATAAAATATTATCAACATCAATATATAATTTACAAAAATAGATAGCACAGCCATTCATTACCGTATGTATACGCAAAGATATTGCTTTAGGTACGATACGAACGTAAAAGTTTGTGGCCATGGATGTTACGGCTTAGATCCAGTAGGAACACTGTGCTGTTTTTAAACAGTACCACTACTAGCCGATAAACAGACAAGCATCAACATGCATGCGTTGTTAGCCTTGCAGGTAACATTACCCAAATACTGTGTATATAGCAATATTAACAAAAATCCGTTTTACTGCCTTACATTTGATTGCACTGTGAGAGACAATGAACAAATTTGTCTGCCTTTTGTTTTCCATTCATATTTGAGGTATCCGTGAAATACAATGTTAAGCAAATAACTTCAGAAATGAGTATCAAAAACATGAATAATAATCATAGGTTAAAGCATTCCGTAATCGATTCAGCCAGTGTTTGAATATTGGTTTCTAGTTTATAGATACGTTCTACTTTATTCGTGTAAATTTTATTGTCAGCATAACTTCAAGCGAGAAACAAACAGCAGGGCCCTACTTCGCAAGAACACGGTGAGCGTGAGAAGAAATCTACTTTTTTTTCGGAAGTTCTCGGGCCAGTGATGCGAGCAATGGCTTGGCGATCCGCCCTGTCGTTCTGAACATTCAATGGCAGATTACACGAAGCTTGTACCACGTTCTGGATAAAGACGTCCTTCAATGAGCTGACCGTAGACAGGAAGTTCTGTTTCCGTAGAACGCTTTTGCAACTACCGTTCCCTTTGCGACAGCAAATACTCCGTTGCCAAAGCAAACTACACTGTTGATCCTTTGTTACCACCAAAAAGGGCGATTTTTCCCTACTATCGAAAGCTCGCGCTTAAAATTGATCAGCTGTTGACAGTTGATAGTGATGAGACATTCTGGACGTTTTACCAGAGCTGCGGCAAGCCAGCAACAGACCGGCTTTTTGAGGGTTTTTTTCCTTTTTATTATTATTATATACTAGTATACGGGTAAGCGACCATAGTGCTCTCGGTTTTAGTAAAATATTGCGGATAATCGTAAGAATAAATAAACAATAATGAGCTTTGGTCAGTGCTATGCTGTGCTGGAGGCATTGTGTGAACGCGGGAAAATCTGTCGAATCGTTATATGAATCTTCTTCAACATCTCCATAATTAATGAGCCCGCTAAACAGAAGATTAGTCGAATTTGGACAATCAAGCACGTCATCTTCACTAGGGCGTTTAGGAATATTCGGCGTCGGGTAGTCCATGGGCAATCTTAACTATTTATACGCTTCCTAATCAGATCCGTTTGCGTTCCTCGTCAGCCACCGTATGATCAGAGTAGATCTGTATTTCATTAATAGGCTAATTAACAACAACGGTTGATGACTGTAACAAACACATACAATTACATTCGAAACATCTCTGAAGAATCAAGTGAAAGCAGTCTAGGTAGAAACCGAGACGATTGGGATACATGAAGATATGGACTTTCCTACTACGTATGCTAAGTTATGGTAATAGTATATTATACCTATGAACTTATACTACTGAATGTCAATAGCAACAGAAGTCGGAACATATAAATCATATAGTGCATATAGAAGTAAGTGGCTAAATAAAGCATTCACCGTAAAGCTGCAACTAGATTGTTTTTTCCTGACAAGTTAGTCCTGATCCGCAGATCTAACTCGCATTGATTTCAATGAAGCGTATATATTAATACACTTGATTTCGATACTTGCAGAGTCAATCTAACGTGATTTCTATCCTTTCAGAGAACAGTATGGTATCGGAACGATCGATCAGTGCAGAATGTCCTTAGTGTCTGCCTGACGTTATGAAATACACAATCGCATCTGTACAGTAAATAGATGTCAGCGAGCTTTATCTTTATTTTATTAATAAAGTGAAAACATTCACATCCTGGCCATTTGTTTCTAACCGCCACTGACACAGGCTGTATTCAGCATTTCTCTATAGATTCTCTTCAAACAATGAGAAGTCACAGAAAACACTTAATAATTGGCTTTTTTCTTTTTACACAAAGCCAGAAACGATCGCGATATAAAAGCTGCTCTCTTGCGGTTTCGACTGCGTTGTATTGCGCGAATAGGCTGAAGCGCGTCGCCTCATTCGTCACTATCAATAAATATCGATTCATGTGATTTTCAGCTTTGGCTGAAATTTCGCGTCTGCTGGAGTCTAATCCGTTTGGCTTAACCCTGCTGCCAGTCCAGCCAAAAAAAACCACAGCCAATGCAAGTGGCCCAACCAGTAATGGAAGTAGCGGAAACAATAATATTATTACAACAAACAGTTCTAGCTCTGAGCGAACGTCCTCGACCCCAGCGCGACGTGGGCCCCTCGCCGGTCAAGGCCCAGACGCACCAGAAAAACCGTACGGATGCACCCACTGCGCGAAGACCTTCAGCAATCGAAACAACCTTAAATATCACATGAGCACGCATATTGGCGGCAAACCGTACAAGTGTAAAGGCTGCGACTACCGTACCGCCTATCCAAGCGGAATCTACCAGCACAATAAAGTGTGTCCTGGCAAGAGGCAGGACACGCAATCTACAGGCCTACAACAGCCAACACAGCAGCCACAGCAACAACAGTCTCAGCAAGCACAGCAACAGCCACAACAAGCACAGCAGGTTGTTGCAGCTGCGGCAGCCCAACAACAGACACAACAAACACAGCAGCAGCAGCAGCAGCAGCAGCAGCAGCAGCAGCAGCAACAAATACACTCGACAACTGCTCAGCAACAGGTACAGCAACTGCATGTGCTTCAACAGCAGCAGCAGGCGCTTCTGCAGCAACAACAGCATCTTCATCATCACGCAGCGGCCGCAGTGGCTCAGCAACAGCATCTTCAGCATCAGCTGCAGATTCCGCTGCATACGCCTCCTCCGCATCTCGCCCATTATTATCAGCAACCACATCATTAAACAACGGCACATTAGGACGTAGAGTACAATAAGCGGAGTTATAACAAAAATGACGATAGCCGTGACAATAAAGACAAACTGACATCATTTAGGAAACAAATCTCTATTTTTATTGTAGTGTTGTCATGTAAACAGGGAAATGAAGGTAATTAATGAAATCTGACAAAGGAATTAAATAAAAAATTGTTCATCTTCGTTAGCACGTATCACACAGCTGGTGCAAAAAGGAAGAAAAATTACATTCCTAACGTGTGACGAGCTAGCTCTGGCGAAAGAAAGACGTAAAGCATGAAGAATATATTATATCTATTATTAATCAGTTTAGCATGTACTAAAGTTCAGTAAAACGTTTATGAGCTTTGGGCATGGGAGACATTTTTTCAGATCTAGCCTAAACAAATTAATGTGATTTGCGTAATTAGATCTGGGACGTAAAGTGGTCAGACTGTATCTACTACTCGTTTTTGTCAATGTACACGCAATCAGACAGAGTGCCTATTCTTTGAGGATCCTGGAATTTGGAAATCAGCAATATCGTTAGTATGTATTCTATACTGTTTCCATGGGTCAAGTCCGTGTAATTTTCTAAGTACAATAACAACTGATTTCATTTGGGGGGAGCAACAATTAGCGTTTTTCCTGCTACAGTAGGCCGAATTTTCGTGTCGTGTGGTCATTTTTTCAATTTGTCATGCGTACGTAATCGCGTGCAGTACGAATCATTACATTTGATAACGTGTGAGACTCCATAGTGGATATGTGAAACGAATGGGGATAGAGCGTTGACGGAGATACAGTTGACTCTGAAGAGGCATTAATTAATTAATACGCTAATTTCTAATGAGTGATCGGAAGTACGAAACAACGATCACTAACAAGCAGCACTTATACGAGATCGCTCATTCTCGTTTAGCTGTAGCACCGTTGGAAATCTTTATTTTTATTAATTATCCCGTTTAGGTGATTATGCGCATAATTAAATATAATCAATAGAAGTAAGTGATGAGAGCAATCTGCTAGTCGAAAACAGCCCGATAGCCTACTTTAGGTGAGCAATTAGCATCATTGTTCACAGTGTTTAGGTCTAGTCTGTGTTCGCCTTTGCTTCTGTCCTAAAGGTCCCTTTTCGTCTTATGATCAAATGTGTTTAAGGCAAAGCCAGCGGATGTATTCCCAGTTGAATAACCCGTATGGACAAGACGATTATTGGTTACAATTATATAGAAGCAGTACCATTTACACGTTATATTGTTCCATTATAATCATCTTGTTGAAGAGTTCCTTTGACGATTTTTGTCAGACACAGATAATTGGCTACCTAAAATCTCTGTCCCAATCTGTGTATACATTGAGAAATTTAACTTATAGTTTCATTTTACTTTACCTTAATATCCGTACATGTTCGAAAGCTACCGGAACGAATTGTATCGTCATCACACGGGGCTGTTCCTTTAACGCGTTCGCCTTCTTAAACCGCGTGGACAGGTTCTCGAAATCACCCTTTCGATATAGCATCCAGGATTTGCTTCCACTAGATGGCCACTCACCGTATTGCTGACGCAAAACAGCTCCCTAAAAGGCCTAACATTTCTCTGAGAAAAAAAAAACAGCATTCAGGACACACGTAGGCCTTCAGCTGAAAATTGCAGACATTATGCTTCGGGCGCCGCAGCCTCTTGTGGCCATAGTTTCGCCAACAGACCCAGGCGATTTTGAGGCTTAGGTTATTTTTCTAAGCCCCAATACCCTGATACCAAATACTTAGTTAACTTCAATTAAAGTGCATAGCTGAATCGAAAAGCACGAATATTTGTTTCCTAAAGAAATAGTAGTATGCAGAGATAGGTAACATACCTGTACAAAGCGCTTTGTCGAAATTGCAAAAGTCGTATTTAGTATTATTATATATCTATTCATCGGCCACATTTAGCAGTAAAAGGAGCTAACTCTAAGCAGACTAAAACAAGGAGAGTTGCTGCCGCCGCCGCCGCTTTTAGGTGTGGCGCAGCGGTAGCTTATTGTCGTAGGGAGCGAAATTCGAAAAAACCCTACATGAGTGCATTGTCCATATACAATTAATTAAATTCCTTAGAGCTAGCGGCAAATGCCAATCTTTTATTTAGCTTTAATTAAGTAGGTCTGATTGAGGAACCTTTTTTTTTCTTTGTTATTGTACAACATGTTTTGTCTATACACCAGCCTTCATTTGAGTACAACCCGCTACCGAATGACATTAAAACATAACGGCCTTTTCGTACTCTATTCGTCATTGTACCAGGACGTGACTATGTCTACACGTTTTCGCAACCTATACATGTATGACCTATGAGCGTACCTCGGGTTTAGTCAACAACGAAATATAGACAAACAACAAGGATCTACATTCATTATCAGATGTAAGTGAGTGTTTCGTACTTAAACGACCAAGGTGCTTATTGCTGCCGACGTAATTACTGCGACGCACTAAGTTGAAAGATAAAAAGAAAGTTAAATCATTAGACCGTCGAATGAACGCAACATCTACGGTGACTTATATATAACCCCTAAACGACGCTACAACGCAACGAACATCCGTTTATTGGATTACTCAGCCTCAATTCCGGTTGCAAAAGCATTCGGAAGATCGTCATTTTTATCACTGCATAGCCATGACAATATATAATGTACATGGATAGAACATTAGTTGCACAGTGAGCTTATCAATATTGGACTACTATTACCAAAATTATTGCTAATTACCACAAGCGACGTTTAAGGCCATATAATAATGTAATTACAGCAGAATATGAATATGATCACTGTATGAGCTCATGCTCGCCGTGCATCGCGTGCTGAGAACTGAACCGTTCGTGAGTCTTAGGTAAAATGCAAATGTCGTTTTTTCCAATGCCGAATTCCCAACTACACCGAAAGAGGCCCTAGTAATAAATCGTACAGCAGTGAACACAAGCTACAGTCACGGATGCAAAATTTATTCCTTAAACTACCTAGCTTGAGAGAACTACTTGAATCTCATATGAAGTAGAAAAAATCCTTAGCGCCGTTATCAATGATTCCGCCGGGTCAGACCCTACGTGAATGAAAAACGAGCCTCTTTCAACACAAAACACAAAGACAGAACGTCGAGCGAACGACTGTAAAAAAGGAAAATAATTGAGACAGAACATTCGATATCTCTCTCTTCTCAGGAGAATCTATTTAATTTTACCCTATAATAATCAAAAGTGGGTTACACTGTATCCGTATTGTGCCATTTCAGTCTGAAGCCGGTAGCATGGCAACGACTTCCGTTAGTCACTTGGTCTTATGTATATGATTGATATTGTCGATCAACTAGGTGCCATCGCCTCGTACGCATGCACGTACGAGGCGATGGCACCTAGCTGACATATATGTAACATAATGCATTATATGAGGCGGCTATTGCGACGAATCAGTCGGACGCTGACTTGTATGTATACAGACTTGGGCATGTATACAAGACGAACGACGGTAGGCACGGAATCCTACACACAAACAAAAACACGGACGGACACACATACAAGCACGTCGTACTCTACGAAAATATCGTATATAATGAGACGTACAATAAAACACGAGATAATTATATCATACCGATTGTAGGTGGATGACGATGACTATGGAAATAATGTAATATTATTTTGTAAACAAGTATATACAATTGCTCGGCTATCCAACGGTGATATGGTTACCATAAGGGCATGTTTACGTGCGGGCAAAATGGTGAAAATATTATTGTGACTATGAAGCCCTTCTATTGAAACTAGAACGACGCGTGTGGAGAGTTGCCAGACGAAAATAGCCAGAGGGAACAAAAGAAAGCAGTAGTATCACGAAAGAGCGTTCAAATAAAATCTATGAATACCACCCACATTATCATTGCACTTAAGCGGGCCATATAGCGAAAATGCTAGCCAAAGTCAAATAATGTCACCCATTGGTTTCAAGATCAAGGGATGAACACATCTCTAGAACCCTCGTAATTACGAAACGCATTTCTAGATTCGTTCGAAACGCGAAATAAAGTACGACCCGTACAATGCACAGTCGTCCTTACGAACTTCGTGACCGTCATATATCTATAGGTTTTGCTGTCGTTTTTTCAAATAACATATACGCATACAATTATACATCGGGAACCTTACTAACGGATTTACGCTCCTTCCAGATCCGGCGATCAGACGCATTGGTAACATGAAGGGATCGCTTCGAAAAACGATTCTAATCAACCGACGTTTCAACCAGATTGCCTCATACAACAATGGTCAACAATAATAAAGGGAAACGGATGTAATATCTGTGCAATAAGAATATAATAATACTGTCTTAGATTGTTGTTACTGTGTGAGAACTAACAAAGTAGGTGTGACTCCACTTCCCACTAGTGATTTGCGAATGTCCCGACGATGGGATCACAAAACCAACCTGAGACCAGCCCGTCCACCATAACGAGCGACCAGGTAATTAACAGATGTTTATTTATGGTATTGCTTGAATTATTATTGCTTTTATTAATAGTACATAGATTAGGGTAGGCGGCAGATTTTATTTTGCTGTGACTCAGCTAATGCGCTAGCTGAGACTGATTGATATTCGTTGTGGGTATTGCCTTCTTTTATTGAAGTAATGGAATCAGTTTATGACCCGATCAGCTTTGTTCCTTATGTTGATCAGTATGAAATCACGCCTATGCGTGGTAACCTTCAATACTGGAACTCCACATCTGTGTGTTGCAGAAGCGGCGTTCCTCGAGGAACTTGAGAAGAACCTCGAAGCGTTCAGCGATATAAACATTGACGATCTATCACCAGGGTTCGTTCCTATAAGTCCCGTAGAGGGCCAGCGATCCTGTTCGCTTGATCCTACCTTAGCTGGCAGTTCAAGGCGCAGAGATCTACCCGTTCTTCATGCTCCTTGCTTAGTTTCAATGGAGACGGAAAATCCCTCACTTGTTTCTACACAGCAACAGGAAGTACCACAGATAGCTACAGAGACCACGATGCCATCTGCTCAATTTTCTCTATCGATAACTCCTGTTCCAAAAGCTTCATCCCCCCAAACGGTGGCAGAGATGGCAGGTGAGCTTCGATTGTTCAAACCGTCGTCTCTTACTATGTTGACACCATCAGCCTTCGGTAGTGCACAGATCGAGGTCGCATCCTGTACTTCAAATGCAGCCAGTGTACCGCCGCCGCCAGCATCCCAAGCTTCATCAACAACGTTACGGCGTTTCGAGACGTTACCTTTTAAGCCGTCCGACGTTGGCCGCACCGTATGCGAGTATTGTAATCGGGACTTTGTCTACCCGGCCAGACTGCTTCGGCATCGTCGAGTTCATACTGGCGAGCGACCATTTAAATGTGAGTTTTGCTCGAAATCATTTACGCAGAAGGTGCACCTCAAGCTTCACACAAGGGTTCATACGGGGGAAAGACCATTTAAATGTGATCGCTGCGTGTATGCTGCTTGTGACGTGTCAGCCTTGCGTAAGCATATGGTAAAACATAGCTCCCAGGAGCGTACCCAACAGGCCCCCAAGCACTCGCAGGATCAAGCAGGACTATCGAACGAAGTACTTGAATTCTCAGAACAACAACAACAACAGCAGCAGCGGCAGCAAAGTCAGTCGGTTCAGCCACAACAGGAACAGCAATTACATCTGAAATCCTCATCGCGTCCCGTGTTGCCCTCGTCCGCACAAGCGGCATCGCTGGAAGGCGCCACGCTTGATTAGTTGGGAACGATCTGAAACGATGTATGAAATGAAAGAAGGAAGCGACGGTGTTAAATATAAAATTGAATATAATACTCGTTTAATGTACTCGTATATGTAGAAAAAGCAGTAACTTTACACACACGATTACAAGAACGTATCGGTGGTGCCGTCACATCAGTGTTCGCAGTTGGGAAATTTGATGACCTATTTAGCTATATACGCTTTCATTTCAAATTTACAATTAACTGGACATATTGCCACTGTTTATCATCTGAAAACTGACGGATTCAATAGCGCACCCAGTTGAGATAGATATAGAAATACATGCATTCGGTTTGTTGTATAAAGTAACGGGAACCTTATCCTGCGGAAAAACTATGAGTAGTCATGTCTGCCCGAATCTGCTTTGAACTTATTTTGTTTTCAGCGCGGCCAGACAGCTCTTATGCCATATCAGTATAAAAAAGAAGCCAGATCAAATGTTCTGAGTCTGTAGATTAATGTTCAATATATTTTGTATGTGCTAGTATGGCAAATACTACACACTGAAATCTAGTTTGAGTTAGATCGAATGAAACCATAGAAAACCAAGTCTAAATGTTTGAAGAGACAATACTCGTTCACCATTTAAGGACGATTAATGAAGATTTGCCTAGCTGTTTACAAACAGTGTTGTTATGTTATTAGCTATGAAAAGAAAGCACGTTTTAATAGGCATTACCTGTATATCTTTACTTTTCTATATGTATTTTGTTCAGAAGGAAGGGTAGCAATGTTGATCTAGTTAGCTTCCAGCTCAGTCTTAACTTTGAGCTGGCTTTTTTCCAAATGTAAATCTTTTTTTACCCTGCATAGTATCACACCACATGTCTTTCAGGAAGAACGTTACGCATCGCTTTGACATGTCTTAACCTGTGATTGTCCGGTAGAAAGTAGAGAAAACTGTCATCGAAGATACACTTTTGCGCGCATTTGTAGATAAGTCAAAAAACCGGAACTGGAACTTTCACATGTATCAATCAACGTGAAGCCCCAATTGAATACGACTATACTTTGTTAAATCTGTCACTGCAGCAACTTGGGTACTGTTGTCCAGAGTTTAATAAATCATATAATTGTTATCGACATATTTTATTATGTGTGCTTTCGCTGAAGTGCTCATTAAACATTTACATTAATCAGCGTTAGCTGAATACTAAAATACTGATACATTGTTGTCTACTCAATAAAAGTGGCCGAATAGATAGAATCGTACTCTCGCACCCGGTAATGCTGGTACTTTTCTCTAGGTGCCATCAAAGCGTCTGACCTGTGCTAGACTGGCCCATTTTTAATTTCACCCCTCGTGTTTATTATGGTAACGCTGTGTAAGACCTGAAACAACTGTTTTTGATCTATTATTTTGCTTGAGCACTGCTCGGAGCAGCTACAAATCTTCGTAATATAATTGGTTGATCCCACGCGAGTTTTCCAGTTGAGGCAAAATGGGCCTTTAATAAATATCGTATGTAGCATGTATTATGGTTATCCCTTTCTGATGCCAAAGAAAATATTCTATTTTCTTTGGCATCAGTGGTCGATCACCTGTTTAGAAACTAGCTATTTTTCTAATTTAGACAAAATATTCAGTAATATCAAAAATACGTAATTGTAGGGCAAATTGGTCAGCTAATACACGGCCCTAACAATGCTCATAGCATGATAAATGATAACAAACTTTTCAGTTCTGAGTTAGCTCCAGTATGGCCCAAGCTAGGTGACCAGGTGGCCAGTAACTTGAGCCGGGCAAGAAATCAGGTGTGTGGCTTACGTAGAAAACATTTTGTCTCCGTATAGTATGCACCTTCCAACAAAAGTTGAGGTACTGAGATTCGGAAAAAAAAAAAAAAAAGCTATTTTATACGACAACATTGTTTGTAGGTGGACGCTAGTTACACGATGATTGAAGCTAGACGGCTACGGCTGAACAGTGCCTAAATCGCTTTTCGGGTTCACTTTGGAAACGTAATTTATTATGGTGTTCTAAGAAGATGGTTCGCTGCATGGATCTATTAACTAGCGCGATATCTGATATTAACGTAGTGAAAATGAAGCTACTGAAAAAGACTTTCCAATATATTACTGATTTCCTATGTTCTTTTAAGGATAAGGTAAATTACTAGACGTATTCCCTTGCGGAAGTATTGCGCGACACCAACGGTGAAGCAGTTTATAATATCATTCTTATAGGTCCTTTCGTCTTACTCAGTTGCCGGTAGAGCTGAAGTATTACTAATATAGCTTTTGGCTGTGTTACTTTCTGCAAAAAGTACACGCCTGTACGGTGTACGGTGGTTTCTAGACGTTCTCGCCAGAAACCGTACTTCAGGTAAACACGTCAAGACAAATGTTGTTCCGTAATAGATACCTACCTAATCAGCGTTCTGCAAACAGTTTCAGAAGACTCAGCTCCCATTATGTTGTTCCGCAATGCCAGTGTTCGTTGAAACTGTGTGCCTCACTGAATTCAAGTAGTTCGCGGGCGTAACTTATAGAAATGTGAAGCGTACCGGTATTAGACATTTAATAATGCTAGTCAATTGTAATAACGGGTTATTTATTATTGTCGGCTGAATGAGATAGAGTGTTATAACTATAACTGAGACTATTATGCACGGCTTTATGTGTTTCTCAGTAATGTAGTAAATGGGTTAGAAAAAATGACGTTCTTTTGGTTTTTTCCCTGATTTTCGGGATATATAATCCATGCGCACCTATATATACATATATATCAAGCATTATAGAGCTTTACTGTCTGATTTCTGTGTTACAATGATAAAGCTTTGCGACGACAGAGCGAATTGATACCGAACATGAAGCCATTTTATAGGCTGGCACAAAGTTAATAATATCTCCGTTTATTTTGGGACTGAGAATGCGTTTCGGAATTGACGTATTGAACTATGCCTGATAATCCAGCAACTGCGAATCACATGTCTTTGCCTTAGGCAATTTTCACGAGGGCTAATAATGAAATCAGCGAGTTGGCAAAATTATATTTTGCCCTTTTCTACGTTGCGTATGATCTGGGGACTAAGACCTCTCAGCGGCGATACCTTCGCAATAGGCAATAATGCTCGTAACATTATTCTGAGCGGACAAAGTCTGGGCGGAAAATTACAGCGAACAGATTACCTTTTATGAAATAAAGCCAAAGGTGTTTGAACGGGACGCGTTGCACATGTGCCATATATTTAATGAAGTTCTAAATCGATGGCTGGTAAAGAAAACTTCTTGGAAGACTAACATTTATCATAGCGTAGAGTTGAAGCTATTTTTCCAGTGTTTCTTTGTTGCTCTCAGTGTATTCGTACATGATCTTGCCATTGGTACAGCTAAATCGAGGACTATATCTTGAAGCTCGTTGGCATACTGCTTAAAGCTGCGACTGCTCCGAGAATTACTGACCGTCAAAACGTATCGTTGGGGCGCGTTACGTTGTGTCTAAATAATACAAACTATGACTCGTGTGGAACAAGCTTACTTATGAACTATTTCTTTTAAAGATACCGAATATACCAGTGGGGTTGAGTTTCGAGCACGAAACATACTCAATAATGCAGAGTTTCTCTTTCGGGGGAGTCGGTACTTGAACTTATTATGATTTATTTCTACGTAAACGTATTAGAAAGTGATGGAGCTTTTCTATTAATTTTTTATCGTATGTTGTTTAGGTATAGACGAATATATTCGCCTGTAGAGTATACGAGCCTGAAGCTCCGTATCGGCGAAAGTCGTTTAAACGTTTTAGTCCTTAAAACGGTTATACATCTGTATAGTGTATAATTAGTACCGTCTTGGAATAAGGCCCTCTGTATAGACAAGAATATCACACTGCTCTAAGGGTCACTTCGAAAGATCTACGAATGGACGCTAACATATTTATGATAAAATAAGCAAAATTTTTGGTACAAACACGTAGCATTTTTAGTTTGTCTCTACGAAATGACACTTCTTGAAGGAAAAGTAGAACTGATTTTCCAAATGAAAATTTTATGATCATTTCTAACTTTTGCTATTCTTCTAGGGCCACTCCTATTTCCGTCACCGAAAGCCATCGACGACGCGTAGGACAGATCACGTCTTGCTACGGGCGTGTAATATAACTACCGCTAAAAACGCGCTAAGTTAACAAATCAATGCGTAACAGTGGCGTCGTGTCACCGACCTCCCAGTAACAGTTTCTACAATTGTTGATATTATGTTTTACTCAGGGGAAATACAATGAAGACTCGACTTGAAACAACAAATGAAGTCCTGCAAAACAATCCGATTTTTGTTTCTATAAATTCAACTATACCTGCGTGTGCTTTATTCATTGATCTTGCATGTTGAAACGTCATGGGTTCCTTCATTTGTCGCCTATTATGGCATCACACTGTTATGAGTAAAAATATCATTTCGAAGACGGCAAAGTGCACAGGGTTAAATGGAATCTAACACTCGTCCTTTTTTTGATATTTAAAATTAATAGGTGTGAGAAAGTCGTTAATCTTACACAAAAACCTAATGATTGAGTTATATAGGTAAAGCAGAGTATAAGGATTGTCGATCCGTACTGTGTACAACAATCGTTATTGGTGGCATACCCTGCCAACCAAATACATGTGATCATTAACATGTATTTCTCGTACCCTTTGGACAGAGTTAAAATGCGAATTCTGCACGTATACGGCGATCTCTACAGCTGATCTGAAAGCTCACGTCGAAATTCACGGACCAGCTCCAGGATCGGCGGATGAATCCTCACAGGACGAAAGCATTCCACCGTCTTCCCCAATAGCCGTAAGGCAGCAGGAGACTGTGAAAGAAAGGCAGGATGTATTTTCCCTAACAAGCAATAGGACATCACCGCTGGTGGCAGATTCAAGTTCACCGCCAACGAAAAACGTTATTGATCGGTTTGAGTTCGTTTTATCATCACGCAACATTCCAGCGAACTATTCGTCGCCCAAACGCAACCAATTTCAATTACTAAATGTTCGACAAGGAGATACGGCCAGCTCGGCCTACTCGGCACAATCTAGTTCTTCAGACCAGGTCAAATGTTCCACAGGGTTGCAGCTTCAGCACACAGCGTCAGGAATAACGTTACCCGAAGACCGTATCAGCAATCTCGTTAGTACCGCTCGGTCGCAGGAACGCCAGGATCCAATAACGAGCGCAACAGTATTCGACAATGATAGCATCAACATTGAGCCAGGTACGGCTAATAACGGTAGCTGCGTTCGCAGTGGGAGTTCTTCAACAGCGGCAGCAGCAGCTGGCCGCGACAGCTTTTCGCCCTCTGCAGGCTCTGCATATGTTACCTCGCAAAATCAAGTAGCAAAAGCATCCCCATTCGCGTGCATGACGCCTTCACGTGAGCCGTTTGCCGACGACGAAGATAACGAAGAGTGGATGGTTCGCTGGAGTAAACCGGCACCTGCTTCAGTGAAAAAAGCGCGTCTGCTCTTTAATCGATATCGCAATATGCGTTCGCCGATCAAAACGCGACGTTCGACGCTACCCACGAAGGCGCCAGTGTATCAGAAACTCGTTCTGCATTTACCATCAGTACTTGAGGATGGCCAGCCGGTTTCAAGTAACTCTGCGGCTGATTTGGCAAACGTTCCTTCTCCATCGACAGCAAGCCAGCTGGCGTCGACTAATATACAGTTAGCGTCACCGATGCATGCGGCGAGCACAACGACCTCGACCGTTATGTCCGAGGAATCAGCCAACAGCAGCAGTAGCAGCGGCAGCACTACCTTGACAGCTACTTCGTATCGAACGAGGTCTGGAAGCGTACCGAAAGCTGACGGAAGCGAGGTCACTTCGCCCAAACTTGTTATTAGAACGACATTCGGCAACAATTCGATCGCGTCTACTACGACGATGTCGGCGGCGGCGGCGGCAGCGGCGGCGGCGGCGGCGGCGGCAGCAGCAGCAGCAGCAGGTAAGATAAGTTTATCCCGTTTATCTATCTTGCAAGCCTTCTAATAGACGTAGTACTGTTAAATATTTTCTTGGCTGGCTTTCGGTGTGAAGTGCCCTACAGTTTTCGTCTCCTGCATACGATGGAAGTCGTGAGGTGCGCGCTCGCCTTCATCGCTGCGCAACTCTCGCATGCATTTTCTGTACTCTGTCTATCTACCGTTAACCATATCAGAAACATAATAATAGTGACCGTGCGGTCACCAGCGAACAGTAACGAGTTAGCGAATCTCAGGGCTGCATGGACGTAACATTGATGGAAAGTGACACCTAGTAATGAAATTTCTCGATTTCCTACCTCTCTTCTTTTGCATTTACCCCTTCGCCTCGTCATTTTAGAGCCGGACTCATCGGTCGCCGCTGCGCCAAAAGTGAAGTTTAAGATTCGACCTCAACGTTTTAAAGAAGTGAAGGAAACTTCTGTTGACGCTGGGACGTCAGACAACATCAGTAGTGTCAGTCATAATAAAAAAGACAATACTAAGAGTGATACGGGTGAGCCTGTTGTCAAAATGCATCTATACCATTGCACGCACTGCAAAATGTTCTTTTCACAATCGGAAAGTCTTAAGGATCATTTACGGGTGCATCATAAGAAGCGCAAGAGCGCTGGCAGCTCGGGCGGCGGCGGAGGCGGCGGCGGAGGCGGCAGCGGCGCCGGTAGTAGTAGCAGCAGCAGCAGCAACAACGGACATCAGGGCAAATGATTATACTAAGAACTAACACGGATAATAATAATAATAATAGTCATAGGAGTGTATTTATTATTAACTTATATTTTATACACTACATTAAAGCTATTTTACCTTGTCCTTACTTCTTTATTCTGAGTGGGCACCTATCCGTAAGCGCAGAAAGATATGAGGGTAGAACCTATATCGTATCTACGTGCTTGCGTGTGTATATGAGAAATGTGCGTGGTAATAATGGCCACCCGTCATTGAGTATCTTTGTGCGCGGGTGTCTATATACGCTTTCTCCGGATGCTGGTTCCTGCTGGATATATATAGGCAATATCTTCGATCAAGTTCAGTATTTGGCATTGTATCGTGGCTCTGCGGACGTGTATTACAGGTCGAAACTCTCAAGATATACATATATACAATATAAATATGACCATAAAACATAATGTTACTACATACTTAGCCGGTTTTGAGTGCAGCTAGGTGTACTCGAAGGTTCTTTGTACCTGCGTTGTATTGAATTCGAGGGAATTTCAAGAATAAGCAATATTACGTAATGGGGTAGGCGAGACAGCCAAAGAGAGCCGTACCAAACTCGATATTCATGTTAGGTTATTATAACTTACTTCGTCGTTGGAAGAGAGTCGACGAAACCTCCTCGATTCTCAATAACTAAACATAAAAGTAACGAAACTCACCGTAGCAATGTGACTAGTAGACGAATATGTAAAATATGACAGTAGCAATTATAGAAATAAAACTACTACAATTGTAAAGAATGATAGCGAGTATTTTCTACAGATCTTCGATTTCTCTTCCTTATTGGTCTTCGACAATCACATACCTGGCAGCTGGTTTACGTACGCGTTACTTTTTTTACTAATGCTGTTTTTCTTACAGATACGAAAGGTGTTCCTATTAACATGACGGGTTCAACAAGGGCGGCAAAGCAGCAATTTCGAGCAGATGACGTAGTCATTCTCTGACAATGGAATCGCATATTGAAATAAAACACTTGTCGTCGTCGTACGGTCTGTACGCCAACGTATTACTATTCCATGACGAAGCAGATCAACAGCTGCGACATCATATATATTACTAATCATTTCACATGTCGAATTTCGATAACATTTTGGTGGTGGCATTGATGGCCTCTTTCTAACTACGAATGGCGGCCTGGAATTCTGAATGTTTTTGTCTACGAAAATCCCCTAGTGAAAACGCTTCATACTGCGTATGGCTAGCGCCTCAAAGTGACATTGAAAAGATCTGATCATCAGAGTGCAGGCGAGTCCTGAATTGAGGCTTTGACTGCAAATAATTTCTTTGGTACAATGAGATGACAAGTCGAAAAAAAAACAACTAATTTATGAGACCTCATTCCCCTTCGTCCTGGTGACGGTCGCGAATTTCAGCAGGACAGCCTATCGATCTGGATACCTCGACAGACGAAGATGAAAGGGAAAAGGATCCCCAAGCTACGATTCGAAGTTCAAGAGACTTCTCGACGACAAGTGCGTCAGTCACGCCGATCACGACAAGAAAACGCATCTCCTCATCGAAAGGCACCTCTGCATTAGCAGACTCGGCCGTTTCAGATTATGCCAACTTGCGGCCAAGACGTTCTGCCCGACCAAGGACAAAAATTTCGTTTTCAACCTCCGAAGACGAAGACCAGCCTATGGAATTGGAAATTGGCGAATTCGAGTGTGATAAATGCTGTTTCCGTACGAAGAAACGCAATGAAATACTCGTGCACAAGCTGGAACACGAAAAGCCATATCAGTGCCAGGTCTGTGGGGTGCGATTAAAGAAACGTACCTTCCTCACGCAACACCTCACGATTCACACGGGCGAGCGGAACTTTAAGTGTGACGTGTGTGGTTTAGCGTTCCGTACATCCAGCAATCTTAAAGGCCATATGGAGGTACATAACGAGACGAAAAGATACAAATGTGATTTGTGCGACGCTAGCTTTGCTCAGGACCGCTATCTCAAGAAACACCTAAAGATTCACTCATCGTCAAAACCCTACCCTTGTGAGGTATGTGATTACCGAGGTCGGACTAGCTATGACCTCAAAGAACATCTATGGGTCCACTCGCCGATTAAACCATACAAATGTTTCGAGCCCGGTTGTGACGCAAGCTTTAGCCGCAAGAACTATCTTGAAAATCACATGGCCCGCAACCATTAGCTTGCCCGAACCCTAATCTTAAAACCTCTGCCTTAAGAGTCGACAATGAATCTTCGGTAAATGGCTATAGAGTACAGAGAAACTTTATGGACGATGAATGACGTCTCGGTCAAATGATGCATAGCCTCTATTGTAAGTGTGTATCTGTATACAGAAAAAATAAAAATAATATCTTGTTGAGTCGGCCGTGTGAGAATGTAGGAAAACTGCAATTATTTGCCCTAAGCGTTCTGTGTGGGCCTGGCTTTTTTTCACGTTTCTGTATCGTCAATTAGAGACTAGCAAGCCTGTAAACAAATTTGTTTTGATATACCATGTGCCAAATTCAAGTATCTGTGTGTTCCATCACCCGAATTTCTAGAGTAGCTATTAAAATCGTCGAAACAACACGTTTCTTTACATATATCATGTCAAATATAACATTTTCTATATGAGAGGCTACGCCCTCGTAAATAATGCGCCTAATCACATTAAGTACTTTGTGTTTGATGGAAATTAACACTATAGAAGGGAGTGTTATTAAATACTTTGTTTCCAATTTCCGGGTGGCATTCAATAGATCCATCATACTCAACCTTGTGAACCTGTATACAAGGGTGTGGGCGACGTCTATCTGATCTGTGGATTCTTTTACTTTTATGCAAAAATGCTTAGACTAACCATTGCAATAGATCTTTTCAGCGGAATTTTACTTCGCATATTTCCTGTTATAAATAGAATCTAAATGAATCTTAGTTACTGACGCAAATCGGTGCCATCAAAAGCTTGATCCATGCGTGCTTTTTGAATAATTAAAAAACAGGTATGCATAGGGCATAGGAGTACGCCAATTTCTTTTTATTTATCGACACTACGTAATCCTATTTTAGTTGTGTTTTTTTTTGAAATGATAGGGTTTCCCGTATTCTATATAAAGGGCGTCGTTACTGAAGGAGAGGTAACGTTCCCAATCTCGCTAGCTCCCTATATCCGTTTGAAACACTGCCGTTGATTTTAGCGAGACATATTTATGACAAATAATTTATTTTGTATTCAGTAGCGTATTTATTAAGCTCGGGGGCATTCCATTAACCAGAGGCCAGTTTACTATATCTAATAAAAAAGCAATAAGACTTTTACAGCATTTATCAGTTTCACGGCTGAGAAAAGCGCGATAATATTAAAGTGAATGATTTACTTAAGTGACGTATCGTCCTTGTAGAAGCGTTAGGGGGCTCATCGGAGGACAACTTTTCCCATGATGTATTGTGGTTGATTTGCCATTTTTTTTTACTTTGATTAACAGATCCATACCGCCAATGTAATCTAGCCAATATTTTTTTCCCTTTAAATTTATGGAAACTTGCGAGGTTGGCGTAATTTTAGAGTTTAAGAGACGAGTAAAGCCGTTTGCCGGGGATCGTAAGAGCTTGGCTATTTTTTTCGAGTGTCAAACCTTCAACCTTTGCCTCAAAGTGCCTTCACGGGTTACGTACACATATAGATATGTATGGATTTTTGTTTTAGAACATCATATAATATTTATAATTTGTCCGTGCCAAATGTTTGTGTGGGTGGCGGATATGAATGCGAAGGTGCGGATAATAACACATGTTATTGAAATATGGCGTACATACAGATCATGTAAAATGGTCTGCTAACAACTGGTAGTGTGTTGACGTGCCGTTGTTTGTATATAATGTCCCAAGAAGTTTGTAATACAATTGCTAAAATATTATTTTTATTAGTTATTCGTAATTTTCTGTATCAGCTGTCAAACCAGGGTTTTACATACTACACATTTTATATAGTGAAACTATTTCAGCTGGCAAAACTATATCAGTCACATCGAAATTTTACAATCAGTGCTCGAACGATGGCTGATAACATTATTTTTGTGCAAAAGCATCTGCTTCAAATGAGTACGTACGTACGTACGTACGTACGTACATCTTGTTTTTATCTGTGCCTTAATATTTACGGGCGAGTGCGTGTTTTTCGCGGTCTGTGTTATAACATTCAAACAGCAATATATGTCAATGTGTATTTTGCTCCGTGTGTCATTATTAAAAAAGTATCATCGTTTATAAATATAGCAGCCTTCATAATCCTTGCAACTCCTCATTACCCCACACGCCTATCATTTGCTAATTCTTCTTGCGCGTTAGGTTCATACTCTAGATTTTTCCTTGAAGTATATCCCAAGGGAGCGTAGATAAGCATAATGTAGATCTTATTACTAATCTTTTTGTCGTGATTATAATGGTTCGTAAGTTTTATCTGCATATGAACTTTGGTTAACTTTTAACTTGACACAAACATGTCCGAATTAACAAGCGAATATTTGAATCGTAAATCTATCAAAATATGGTGGACGTGGTCAAACGTAGCTGGCTTATACCCATAGCAGTCTTAGTCGTATCGAAGCTATGCACAAGAACGACGCGACTTCAACGTTTTAATTATGGATACTAGCAGCTAGTAGGCTGCATTTAGTGAGCTAAGAGGATGTGAAGGATAATGTTTTCTATGTAAAAACGCAGAAAAAGAAGAAGATAACTAAAGAGAGAGAATGTGCGAGAAAGAGCACCGGACTGATATAATTGGTTGCAGCCGATACCTGGAAAAGAATCCTGGCCGCCCAAGAAGGCGAGGACGCGGGCGACGACTATGAAGAAGACGACGATCAGGACGAAGACGACTCATCGTCGTTCATTTGTGCGTTCTGCGAACAGAAGATCTACTCGAACCAGGAAACGCTAATGGAACATGAAGCCAAACATTACTACTTGGCCGGTAAGTGAATAATAATGCTTCGTTACTGCAAACGCTTCCAGAGTCAAAGATTATCTTACTATTTATAGAGACTATTATAATGTGCAGCTCCACCATGTGCTGCCCGACTCTACACAGGGATTTTTGGCCGAGCAATAGGCGTATAGATTACTGGATCTGCCCAGAAGACGCATGTGATACCGTCAAGTGGCTGCTTCTTCTTGCAGGCAAATCACTAGCATGCATGGTTTGCCGCTCGGAGTTCACTACCCGCCGGGACATCATTGTGCATGTACGAAGTCACTACTCGGACAAAGCATTCAAATGCCGCTTCTGCGACTATCAGACAAATCGCAACTTTAACATGAAAGTTCATGTTCGTACGCACACCGATGAGCGGCCTTTTTCATGCACCAACTGCAAGCAGTCGTTCAGACGGAAATACTCGCTGAATCACCATATTAGTCGGCACCACCCCGGTTCCCAATTGTTCTAGGACTTGCTGCTGCAGCAGGGTCAGAGAACGCGGCTTCGACGAACCCGACGGACAACACCGGCTGAAACGACAGTCTCATGCAATGGCAACCCGATTGGGTGGGATGGTCTTGGCAGTTCCGTCGACCGCCTACACAGCCCGTCGGCCACCGTAACGTCCTCGATTTCATCACTATCGTGGCTTTTGGCGTTCTGGACTAATCTGTTTGGACATACCCTGCTGCAGTCACCCGTCTGCGATAACAGAAACGATTAATGAACATATGCTGAACTCGTAACACTATCAATAGGATTAATAAGAGGAAATGCTTTTGTGTGAATACTCTCATTATCAAAGAATAACTACGGAACAAGCTGGAATTCTTTGTAGATTGAAGGTTCGAGTTTACAGAAAACGACGGTCGCTTGCGTAGATCAGTTCGAAAAACATGACGAAAACATTATGCGAGCCATTCGTAGGGAGAGTAATGGATCTTACTTAAACAAAGACAGTATGCCGTTACAACGGTCTTCATCGATAGAGGGAAAGTGACAACTATTGATGTAACGTAAAATAGTCTGATATATAGGGTACTTGGAACAAACTCACATGGATAGCAATGGCTGAGAGGTACGTAATTGCACATTATACGTATTTTGTATATATATATATATATATATATATACATATATATATATACAGGAGACTTACTTAGAATATAATCTATTCCATTGTAAGCGATACGCTCTTTAGAAACAAAACAAATCCTATCGCAATAGTGTACGCTTCCAATCTTTTTTCTCCACTGCTTGTACTGATTCGTAATAGGAACCAATAAAAGGATTACGTATTTGGTAAAGTCGCTTAGATAATATCTGAGCTATAATTTGCCCGCATCTATAGTAATTAGGAGTGCTATAGCTCAATTCAAGGAGAACGATTGTTCGTCAGTAGCAGATTGATTATGACGAAGAGGCAGGATTTGACCTTGTTAGAGCTTTTCCATAAGCTACAACATGTTTCAGTATAGCAAATGCAGAGGTGTCTACGACCAATAGTGAACACACTGTGCGTGACGGTTCCATTAAGCGGGGCATTTAATCCGTACTCGTATATGCACTACGGCGTATCAGAGCGGGGTAGACAGCGTTCACGTAAGACGCAGGAAAAGTTTATATTGCAGTCATGGGCCGACTTCCGTTGTTAGAATATGAACCGAGCGGAACTATCAGTTGTTTGCCCCACGACCAACAAGTAGAACATACCTATGGCGAACGCGATGAAATGCGCAACTAATCTTGAAGAGTTTATCGACGGTAAGTCAGGTTGTCCTTCTACAATCAGGCAGAATTTACCTCCGCGAAACCTAGTTTGGTGGTAGTTGGTAACTTGACATGACCGCACCACCACTGCATCGACATATTGGAAAAGGAAACGATTATTATTGCCACTGCACTTACTCTCTCAAATTCTTATTATGCTACCGCGAGACGACCGAAGAAAGAAGTTAACAGAATGCTGAACTGGACAAATATATAACTTGTTAATATTTATTCCATATGTTTATCTTATGTAAGTTGAGCGTTAATCGGGATCTGTTTAGGATTTTTATGCATCTCGGCACATTATCTAGCGCGTGTAGACAAAGAACAAATGTTAGCGAGCTTCTTCATTCGCAAACTTTACCTCGTTTCAATATGAATCAAATGGACAATGGGAACGAATGATCTCTATTTAAATCGTGTCTTCACCTAAGCAAATACCTATTTATCATAAGTCGTCCATTATGGCAGTACGTATATACGTGAACAGTAACGTTCACACCAAGATCACAGTGGGGGATTGACGAACTAGATACAATTTTGCCAAATTGCGCCAGAACAAATACTGGAACTCAGTGTTCCGTCTGGGGCGAAGCTTAGTCAGCCTTGATATACCTCGTAGACGATTGGCCTATGCGGTACTGATCAGAGCAAAATTTCTATCAGGACGGAAGATTATCGCAGTTCAGGAAGCTAGAATCAGATCACCAAAGTGAACTGCAACAGAAAGTATGTTTTATTAGCCTCAAAGCTTTATTGATTGGCTTAATATTTAGAATGGACATAGCGATAGTGTACCGAAGGTGTTGAATACGTTCCGTGATAAATCCGGTTAAATCTCTACGTCTAGGTGATCTATAAGTGAAACTATGCGTAGAAGAAGACGGTGCAAGGTTTAAGGCTATCCGGTGTAATTGGGAAAGGAGTAAACTGATGAGCCGAAAACATATCTGGAACTGCTTGTTAGTTAGTGACTTCTTTTACTTGACGCGACGACGTTCCATCCAACAATCCTACATCAGTCAAGCGCAGCAGCAGCAGCAGCAGCTATCGGTAGCTCCAAAACAAGTCATCCCGAGTGTGACTAATAACACTCGCTTTGCACCTGAGTCGATGCCGATATTGAAAACAATTCTTTAATCGAGACTTATCGAAATCAAAATGCTCAGACAGGCGCAATCTGAGTTATATGCGCACTCTGTCACGCAACGATCGGACTGTACGTTGGTCGCAGATAATATATTTTTCAAGGTTAAATAAAGTACTGTCTCTACTATTATACACCGATAAACGTTGTATTCATTTTTCCGTTGATCCGATCATGCGTCAGACGTCCCACTCAAGACTCTCGCTAATAATCAAATGTCGTACTCGAACTGCTACCTAAGCAAACTGTAATCAGTAGCAAAAGAAGAAAAAAAAAAACGAGAATAGACAAAGTCTAACATACCGCGTTATCTTCCAGGCGATTCACTCATGGGACCATGGTCATCCCAGACCCAGTGCGAAGCAATCTTCTTACAGGAATCGTGAATGGGTGTACTTTCGTTGTTCTTCTTCTATTTAGTACACATCAAAATATATTGCTGTGCACACAACTTGAAAAACCAACGAAATAAAAAATAAAGCTCAACCGTAACAGTACCTTCAAACTGCTACTAACCACCTTAAATCCTTGAGAGGGGTCATTCATCTGTTGAGTTTAGCCGTCGTTATCGTCGTATTGTTGCCAACACAGACAGATAGATATGCACCTCGAAGTTCACACCTTAAGCAACTATTTGATTGACTTTCAGAAGAACGCTCGGATGGGGTGGAGACAACGCTTTTCTCCACTGAGTTCCTAGAAGGGTCACTAATTTCGAAAATGTTAGAAAATAGTTTCGAGGATTTTAAATGTCGCCTCTGCAACTACCGCTCGAACTTTAAGCATAACCTTAAAAGACATATCCTCTCACATACAGGTAATGATTACAAATACGTATTATAATTATGATTCATTATCATTGTTTACACGTTCTGTAGATCATTACGAAAATCAATGACACTTGCTACTATTATTGCATCTATTATAGGATACTGGAAAAAAAAAACTAAATTTAAATTTTATCAGTTTTAAAAGTGCTAACCAATTTCATATATTTTTTTTTTTTTTTCAATACAGCTAAGTTGTTCAAGTCCGTCTCTAATACTTCGATGTGATTGATTGTTTTGCCCTTCGATACGGCTGTTGATTGATTTAGATGTGCGTCCCTTTGCGTGTAAATTCTGTGGTAAGATGTTACGTACAATGTGTCACCTGCGGCGTCATGAAAGCATTCACACCCGGGCGTTCAATTGTCGCCTATGCACACTCAGCTTCGAACAGCGTAATCGGCTTGTCGCCCACGTCGCGTCACAACACGTCGGGGCGGACCGTGCAAGAGACCTCATTGACGCGTGGCTGAAAATCGGCCGCGAAAATCGAACCGATGAAGACCAACTGCTTGTCGTATGAATTGATTGGTCGGTCGGTCGGTCGGAACTAGTCTGAATATTCGCGGCGATCTCGTTTCACTGAATACAATAAGTCGAGGTTTAACTCTGATTTATTGTTATATTAGATGAAATTCATATGAAAAGCATAGAGTTTGTAAAAAAAAAAAAACAACAGTTTGTTCTAGTTGTAAAAGTTGTAAAAAAAATCGAGACCGTCAGCTGAATAATTTAGGCCACATGAATGGCATGGATAAATTTAGGTCTTGGCCTTGGTAGAGGATTAGCGGTTTTGTGATTTGTCCATGGAGATAGATATACACGCGTCCATTTTTTGAAGCTCATTTGCGAGCCAAGCTTATCCTATAGTCAAAGATATATAATATTTTTTCTACGATAGGTGTCATCACATTTAGGATAGGTGAGTTAGATATAATGGTTTTTTTTTGTTAAGCATAAAAGATAAGAAGGAAGTGTTCTTGGTCAAGTGAGTAACTATATATGGATTTGGGAAAATCTTTGAATTAAACAACGGCGTCAGTAACGGTAAGGACAAGCTACGTATCTGGGTTGGCAAAAGTCAGCTCTAACGTATGCCGCCGCCGTTTCAAAAGCTTTTTTTTTACTGTACTTTTTTTGTTCAATTTAGAATCTCTCTATTAGTCCAAATTTCTAATATATTTATCGCCTAATATGCACTGGGATATACCTCTGCAGCGATCTATATATAT